TAATTACATTCAATTAATTTAAATTTTAAATACATTTCTTAAGAAGGGAGAAAAAGCTGAGTCCGGGAACAGTATGGTAAGTTATTGGTTGAAACTATTAACTTTTTTTTCTTAACAGATTGTATGTGCATTTATTTTATCTTTAAACCATACCAAAACCATCTTTAAACTATACAAAAGTAAAATTTCATGATAAGAGCAATAAAACATGGGCACTTCAATTAAAAAATAAGTATTATTTAAACAAGGGTCTAAAATTAGGGTAAAAAATAATTTAGACTGGGTGCCAGCTGTGTCTCTTTAGTGCAGCTATTCCACAGGTAAAAGGTCTTTTCTTGAAATCAATTACCCAGCTTCATTTGTTTCGGCAAACAAAGGCAATCTCTAAAGATGGCCAGAGTCACCAGGCAGGTATACAGAGATAATAAGGCAGATATTACAAATAACTGAGACAATTTTGATGATTCTGAACAATCCCACAAATACAACAACTAAAAGCTAATAAACAACAGAAAAGGCATGCTCAGATTAACCATCATCAATCAAACTTTGTTCAGATCAGAGTCTAAACCTGATACTGAAGTGAGATAGGTCACATTATCTGGGCCTATTGTGCATAGCCTTTTCACTAGTTTCTAAAATTAAAACTATGGCATCAGTAATTATTGTAGAAGTATTCAATGCAATGCAATTGGACTGCTAATCAAGGCATTTTTTTTTAACCACACTTCAATTAATTTTAAATAATTTGTATGGTCACCATCTCACAATAGTGGCTTTGGAAGGCAGGCAAAGTTAAAATAGCATTTAAAATAATTCAAACCATGTCTGAGGCTGCAAATAACAAATTTCAATGTAAAGTAAAACCATATTAGCTGGCAGAGCTCACTTAACCTCCTGGCCCAAACACCTGGAGGAACAGCCAAGTTTTTTAATGCCTTACAAAAGGCTAACAGGGTCAGGGCCATCCACATTGCTGAAAGGATGCTGTAGGGCAGTTGCTGCAACGAGAAAGCCTGATTCCTGGGTCCAACACAATGACATTGTTTAATGTCCTCTGCGCTAGATCTAATAGAGCAAGCAGAATTGATGGGAGACAAGTATGGATATCATGTCATTTCTATTAGACTACACATGGAATCTAGTCCTTTGCTCAATTCCATGGCTCATAAAGTTCTATCTTGCTTCTCATTTCATTTTATACCTACAGGAAATTACTATGTTTAGCCATTCCACTCTTTTGAATGTGGTTGAACCAATGTTACTGATGCTCAGTTCTACTGTTGTTTGTTATTCAAGCAATCTATATCATTGTCATGGAAGCAATCTATATCATTCTATGTTGCTTTTTGGTTTTGAACCGGAAAAGGATAGATATGCTAAGATTTAAGATGAGAAGTGAGATTTCAAGAACTGGGACCAGGTGAAGAGATACTATCCTAAAAGACTGCAGTCTTTGTTTGTGACAAACTGATGTATACAGCCTTTAACCATTAACACCCTACAAATTATGATGTATGTATTGCCAGGAATATGGCATAGCAGATCATTAGGTCTCACCACTTGCTCCTCATCAAATTATTTTTGGGAGCAGTTGCATCCCATAGTTATTCAAGCAACTTCATAATGAAGGCACTGTAGACAGGTATGAAACCATGCATCTTTTGAGACTACCTCCAAAGACCTCTCTTTGTGAGAGATCAATCTCAGATGAATTGACGATCATAACCAGCAGTCTACCAAGGCTTCAGCAGCTTCTCTACCATTTAGCTTTAAAATAACCAAATTCCATCTATGCAGCTATTTCGTAATCTACAAAATAAAAGCTACATTTCTCTTTTGAGTCCATAGAATAAAGATCTCAAAGGATTGTGAGGAAGATTTTAGACTTTATCAGTGTGTATTCATCCTGAATAATCTGGCCGTCTAAGGCAGAGGTAGGCAACCTTGGCTCTTTTGTGACTCGTGGACTGGTCTAAGGGGAGTAACACTGGATATATTCACATTCCTTGGTCATGTGTACATGTTGCTTGATTTCTCCAATTTAGCTCCTCCTCCTGTCATGTTAACATATGAATAAGTAATTCTGATTTGTTCCCTCCTAAACAGCCAGCAAAACCTTGGCAGATTTTGGATGTTCAATTCCTGGAAGGATTTCTGGTTTATTGCAATGGGTGAACATAATCGCTGTTAGTTGATGTTCTTACAATCACAGGAGGAACCATTTTTCTGCATTTTGAATTTTTTATTTTGAGAGTGGCCAACAGCAGAATTAAATTATTTTCCATTTGTACAAGCCATATGAACCTTGCACTCCACATGCACTAAAATATTCCTGTCTGAGGAGCTTGTGACATATGCATTTAATTAAAGTAGCTGCTGTTTTCTGAAGTAGTTAGGCTGGCATCTGAAGTTGGAGATGCTGGATGGAGCGTGACTGATTAGCCATGAATCAGCCTTATGGTAGAAACCAAGGGTGATCTGGCCAACAACAGCAAGCATTAAATTTGGAGAGCATGCCCTTCAGTATGAATATTAAATCTGTGTTCTACTGACCCACTTGTTGCAATGTTACTGACTTCAAAGGAATAATAGAGAAGGAAAATGAAGCCCTAGTATATGTTGGAATTTGGATGCATTTCTTTGCCTTCTCATCTCACACTGTTCAATCACATTAACAAATCTGGATAACAAGCCCCTTATTGTACTTTTGGCATGTACACAAAATTACACTTGTTTGCTGCGATGCTAATTAATACAGAACAATTGCCACCCTAGAAGCCTCATTAGCATGAACTGGAATTCCCTCTTGGCTCTTACAAGTGCATTAAAAGGATAGAAAAATCTTAACAGGCAGTTTGGTTATATTAGATTTCCAGAAAACATTGAACAAACATGCAACTGACACATCCAGGACTTTGTAGCTAAGGGCCTAACCTTAACCTCATCACTTCATATTTTGTGTTTATATTGAAAACATAAAAGTGTGTTTTATGTTTGAATCAAGGATAATTAGTTCTGTGATCCAGCCCAAAGTAAAGATCAAACTTGGGCAAATGGGGGCAATTCAGGATAGAAACTACTTAGCCAGTGCAAGAATGAATAACTCCAAACCACTCATCCTGATTCAAAAACATCCATGAAATTTCAACCCTTATTTATAAATTTAGACAGTGCTATGGAAACTGTGAGACCCAGTTTGATGTGGTATAGTTCATCAGGCTAGAAACTGGGAGACTGAGAGTTTAAGACTTGCCTTAGGCATGAAAGCCAGCTGGATATCTCTGGACCAGGCATTTTCTCTCAGCCCTAGGAAGAGGCAGTAGCAAACCACTTCCAAAATCTTGCCAAGAAAACTGCAGGGACTTACCCAGGCAAACACCAGAAGTCAGCACTGACTAGAACTGAACACACCCAGCCGCTTTTGTCCAAAAGGTTTTAGGAAGATGCTTGCACAGAATATTTTGGTGTTTTATACCAAATGGAGGTAACTGGATACTGATTTAGGCATTGACAGGTCTGCCCTTAGGTCATATATTATTGGTGACTCCAATAATGGATTTTGAATGTGTAACAGGATTAGGAATTCAATAGAAACATCCAGGTAACTGTGGGCATTGACAAAGCAAGGTGAATATCTGTAAGACTGCATTCACAAAGGTTCACTGAGGGCTTTGGAAATGGTACAGAAGTGGTTTAAGCGCTGGTTTAGTCAAAAGAAAGCAAAATGAGGCACCTAGGTATATGGCACAGATCCTCTAATTACTTTCCCAATTAAAGGAAAAAAAATACATCTGCATATATCTTTGAAGAAAGGTTTATTTATTTTTTAATAATACAGGAGGAATGCTTCCAACAACAAAGGAGGGCACAGAATCAATTGGGGATTGTATGAGTTTCAGGAGCACTGAATCCAGCCTAAAAAGAGAGCAGCTTTAAGTCTTTGAGCAGTGCAAATTCATAGAATCCAGTTCTGAATATGTATTTAATTATTCCTGTATCAATGAGACATCAGCCTTCCACTTTAACACAGATGGCAAATGCCTGCATGAAAGGCCACAGCAAAGATGGCAAGATACAATAAATGCAGACATGAAAATCGCCCATTTGGACATAGATGTTGCATTTGATTGTGAAAATTGGCATTTGTCGATTCAAAAAATGGCCCTGCACATGCAGGAATATTAGGAAGATGATGATGATGTATCAGTGAGACCTCATAAAGTGTTGAATATTAGTACAAAGCTTCATTTCAAGTATTAGAATGAGACACGTTCAAGCTGACTTACTGTTCTGAATGAATCTCCAAATCAGATACCTGCATGAATTGGATGTATCAGACTGAATCTCTTGGAGTTCTCAATGTACATATTAATGTTTATCTAACAGAACCAATACTGAATTAACATTAATGGAAAAAATTGGACTGCAAATCCTAATTGGATCTTGGCTAATTTATCCCTAGCAAATATGCATCACAAACCATCACTGCTGTCCTGACTTAACCCAAATCTAATTCAAGTGCACAAAATCTGAGATTCCAGGACCACAAGCAGTCCATGAAAACTTCAAGTATGCACCCCAAAAATCTCCACAAGTAGTCTTTGAATTTTAGTTTTTCATAGAAGGAAAGCCAGGATTTTCTAAATAGTATTAAAATTATTAAGTATACTTAAAGCAATGAAATCAGATCCAGTGCAGCCTTTCTTCAGGCCCTACTTTCTGCTTTTTAATGTGAACTTAGTATTGCATTAAAAAAAAAAACATGGTTCTAAGTCCAGAAAAAGTATTGTATCTTTTGCTTTTTCGAGCAGAAGATGAGTAATATAGAAGCAAGCAAGCAAGCAGCAAATGGCAAAAAATATTCACAGAATGACTTCTCATAGTATATACATATATATACATATACATTGCTCCTCAAAGCACGAAGCTGAAGACACCAGCCTAAAGATGACGAATGGGACTTTGTCGAAACGTCGCCAAGACACTTCCAATTTTACGCGGGAGAAAACTCGAACAACCAAAGACCTATATATATAAAATTGTACACAACTGTTTCAATGTATTTTGCTTGTTGTGTTATGTTTCTTTATTCAGTTTCATTAAGTTTCATTAAATAAAGGCAAACAGTAGAATTGGAATCAAGGATGACATCAACCTTCCAAGGTATTCTAGTATGATTAAAGAAACAGTACAGTAGTTGGAATTGAGCCGTATAGGTAAAAGCAATATGTATCTGATTGTCAGTGTTTACTGTTAACAGAAAGGACACAACCAGGATTGGTTCCACTGTATTTTCATTCAATCCATAGGAAAAAAGTAAGATTTTGCAATTTAGAATGCTTCAGATTTTTTTTTGTCATCCTAAAATCTATTGGGCACAATAATATGAACAAAAATGCATAATCCAAACTCTACAAAAGCCACAGCAAAGTAAAATATTAAATTAAAAATAAATCTAGTGGGTAATGTGTAACAGGCAACATGGAAATCCAAAAAGTGAAATCCACTTTAAATTAGAGTCTGTTAACAGAAATGTACACAGATTTTAAAAAGCTATATATGACACCAAAAATACATGAATCAAATTGTGGTGTATTCTCTGGTATGGGTACTTTTTAATCAGGCATATAAGAATACAAACATGTACCATTAAAGTATAAAACTAACGACAAAATTTGTTATCCAGATTATTGGCTCCAGCTATATGCATTTCTTTAAAACACTCCAAATTAAGGTAACAGTCTTATTATTGTCAGCCCTACAAATGTTTGCCAAAATCTTCTTTTTCATCTTTTGCTCTACTTTTACATTACCTTGTAAAATGAGTACATCTCTGACATTTCTAACTAGGAGGGGAAAAATCAAGTGTTCATTACAGTAATTATCCCTCAAGTACAGGAGGAAAACGTGATTATGCAATTTACAAAAATGCAGAGAGTGAAGCTGCTCTGATTATGACTGATTAATTTTGCTAACAAGCTCTGGCATTAATCAGAATAGGCTGACTCTTAGATAATAAGAACAGAGACAGAAACCTAATCTGCAGAACACCTACAAGGAATCAGTTGGGTTTTATCACAGATATCAGTAATATCTCCCTGTGTTGAAACATTTTACACATATTTATAAATGTAAAAAAGCTTCCCTACCTTCTTTGAAAAAATGCATTTATGCTCTATTAAAAAATGACCATGAAAACAAAATTTTAATAGAGAAATATTGAAGAGTATTTTTTCTTCAGAGCAGATGTTATATTTGGACATGAAGCTGAACGGCAATTTAAAGTGGCCTCTAATCACAGGACAAAGTCTGGAACTGAAAAAGAAATTCCTTATTTAGTACTGTCCCGATTCTGCTTGGACTGAGAATGTAATAGATAATTGTTGGCTATTGACTTGAATCTGATATGCAGTGCAGTAGGATATCAATATTAACCCTTAGGTAGCTGAAGAAATTACATTACTTGCGTCCTATCTCTCAGTATCAATTTGGGCACAAAATCTTTTTCTCCATTAACTCTTGCTAGCAAAAGAGGATACATATCACTGCTTATTTTTCTGCTTTATTAAAACAAAGTTCAAGTACAGCATCAAACCAATCTCAAATCTATTCAGAATTTAATATACAGCTGAACAGAACATAAACTTAACGATTAAAGGTTACAATCCAATGTATGTGTTGTTACCTTATAATAATTTCACTGAATTTAATACTGACTTTGTAGCATTAGGCTGAAGGTGGGGAGGTATTAGGAGTCCTATGATTTACTTAACAAAATGATTTGGGATCCTCACAACCAGCTCAAGTGTTTTAAATATACAAAATGATAATAGATATTCAGACTCTCCAAATCATGGGTGTCAAACTCATCATGTGACGTATCGCGACTCTTTTTGCATTGCCGGCAATGGGGTGGGCGTGGCTTTGGTATGATGAAACTGGCCCGTGGGCCGGCAGTTTGACCCCCCTGCTCCAAATAGTTGAGATAACAATCTGTATTTAGTCTTTGAGAATACCTTCTAATTGAGAGCATAGAACTGTACCTTGACTACCATCTAATCTGAGATTTGGAAGAATCCAGTCTTTAAAAAGCTATAGGGTATCAATATGCAATTGATATTCTAATTTTGCCCTCTTTCGATCTAAGGGTCTTTAAAAGCTGGAAGCTGTAAAGGAACTAGAGAGATCAAGGAAAGAAAACTATTAAAACTTTCTCCAAATTAAGAAGATAAGAACTCAGCTAAGTGGTGTCACCAGAGTAAAATTTGGGGTAGAATTTGGGGGTAAGATGGAGTTGTACAGTATTTTATCCCTAAAATCTGGGACAGTATTTTCTGTTATATATTATAGGCCACTCAGGTATACCAATAACATTCAGACCATAGTTATTGATTTTTTTCTCTCTTGTATCTCTACAGTTATTGTGATAGATTATTCAGTCTCTTAACTCTGTGTCAGGTTTGAGGCACTTCCCATTATATTTTCAGAAAATCTCTCCTGAGGCAATGTTTTTTATTAATATATTCTGACATTGCTGGTGAAATGTGTCTATCAATTCTGTATACCATACCAAGTTAGAACGTTTTAGCCATCATCCCTGATGCGACTGCTCCAAAACCATTAATTTAGAAAAAGGTTCAGAGGAATAAACTTGAATCTGAGACTTTCTGAGGTAGCTACTGCCACCTACAGGCTTAAATATTAGGTTTTGTTGCAAAATTTGGGATGCAACTAAAAAGCTTCCTTTGACCTTTGGAAACTGGGGCAGTATTCTCAGAGGGTACACCCTCCAACAGATAAAATTACTGATTTTGGCTTCAGAGGACTTTTAGAAACTATCTACCTGTAAAATTATTTCCAGCTCTATCAGTATACAACTGGCCTATTTTGTCTCCAATCTTTTATTACCTATTAGGAAATCTACATAAGGCAGAGATCGAAATTACTGCTGAATTAACTATTGTATTGCTTTATTTTTTCTGTATTCTAGTGTCCTTAGAAGAGCCTTAGGCACAACCTAAAGCACCTTATCAGCCCCATAAACTTTATTATTGTCTGCAGCCTGTTTCCTATTTTATTTTAAACCTGTAACTAAATAGACCCCCAAAATAAGCCAATCTCTTGCTTCTTTCATTTTTTGCCTTATCACCTATAATAATGAAGAGTTCTACAGAATGCTTTGTTTGCTTGTTTGTTATACAACCATGCAATTAGTAATTAGAATGTATGTGCACATAATTAGCTGATAAATCAAAACAACTCTGAATCTATGCTGAGGTATAGGGCTGGAGCAGACCTGCTGAAGTTGTAACACTCCAAGGTAGACCTATCGGATCTGGCCTTGAAAAATCCAGGCAACCACTACAGCACAGTAAAGAGATAAAAAAAAAAATCTTGATTGCCTCATAGTGATCTAGACTTTTGTAGCCAACATCTGATAGACTTACATCAATCTGAAGCCCACTAGCTTCTTATTAAAGCCCAAAACAAATTTATTTGCTAATTTTCTTTTTCCTTTTCTAGGATTTTAAAATAGTAGGGGGAAACAGGCACAGATTCTGACAGGAAATGAGTCACATATCTTTTAAAAGTTTAAAAAGTCTAAATTTAAAAAGTAAGTTATATAAATTGCTCAATTCTGAATTTCCCATGTATTTGGGAATAAGAATTGTATGGAAAATTAATAGACTTAACAGGGAGTTATAGAACCAAATTCAAAATTTTTGATACATCTAATGCTTTTCTTTCCTAGATCAAGAATATGTGAGTGTAGGGAGAAGAGGCTGACTCCACATTTTTAGAACTGTTGAATTTGCATAGTGCTGATTCATTTACAGAGCCTTTTAGTCAGCAGTGTTTTTAAGTGACTAATGAATATGCAGACATTTAAAGGAGACTAATCCCCCCCTCCCCATGAATTGTTTAAAATAGGGTGAGATAATAATACGGGATAAGTGTTCAAAAAGTAATGATCTGAAATATAAATTGTAGATAAGTCTTTATAAGAATAATGGCAGGGACAAGCAGAACTTGATGACAGGCTTCGCCATAAAAACCTCTACAATGATAGACATTGGCTTCAAAATACTGCAGTGATATAACCAGGTAATAAAACTGCCCTTTTTAAAACATGGATTTCCTATATTTAAAATAAGCCAAGGCTCTGATTGCATGGTCATGTGTGACATCTTCAAGCCAGCTGCTGCAGATACCCCTGAATGAAATACAGATTTGTGCACAAATTTGATTGTGTAGAGATGCCCTGTTGATATAAATAATATCAATAAGGGAAGAGGAACATAACTTGGTCAAAACTGAACTGGATCTGGTTTTGCCCTAGGAGCCAGCATATATTGGCAGTAACTGTTATCCAATGGTCCTTCAAAAATATTGCCCTCTATAAAATACAACACAAGATTACACTAATTGCAAAACTCTGTTGTAAATAATATTTTGTATAGTTTTTCCTGGTCTTAGAGTTTCTAATTAGTTGCCTCTGAGAAATCAACAACCAGGATCATAGGGAAACAGCCCATTCATTTCATGTGCTCTAGGAATTTAGAGAGCTAATACAGTTATCATGATGATAAACTTCTAATAGTCTTGTGCCCATAAATATGCCCAGTACTCCTTTAAACCTCTCCATGTGGATGGTTGTCTCAACAGCTTCTGAGAGCAAATTCCATAAATGACAGCAATTATATGAAATCAGGAAAATGAAATTCTAAACAGAGTAAGCTACAAGCTCTTAGGCACAGTGAAATTTATCTCTAGAATGTGAAGACATTGTTTAGTTCCAGTAGCCTATGGCCCTGCTAAGATTGCTGGTTACTGTTGTTCAACATCTGGCACCATAAATTTCCCACCTTTGTAATGGACAAGATTTATCTTACAACCACATGGCATACGATCAATTCAAGCAATCTTAATATTTTCAGATTGCAATATTTAATATAGAAGAATGTTCAGACATACTATTCCGAATATGTAATCTAAAATAGCAAAGTAGTGGAATGAATTTATTTTGGAGATTTGAATCAGCAAGAGTCTTTGCCGGAGGATGTGCTTCTAAATATAAGCACAGTGCTGAAAGAATATTGAGCAATTACGCTGCCGAACACTCCATTAGAAGTAAAATAATACAGTTGTCTTGGATACAGGCTACAGGCTAAGCCCAGCTAACAGTAAATCTAACTTCACTTCTGTCTAAAGTATGTCTGGAAGAGAAGGAAGCACAAAAGAGAGAGACAGGAAGTTTCCTTTGTTTCTTAAAACATACCAAAAAAAATTACTAACAATATGCCTGGAGAAAAATAGACACAAGGACAGTCTGTGAAGACCCTTCTCCTTCAGTGTCTCTTGCTCTTTGTTCTTGTGATTAGAAAGGCTCATGGGTTCCAAGGGATAACATAATCTCCAATAGTTTACCAGATGACCTGCAGTTGCATAGACTAGGTTGTGGCTACATGGATACCTTTTATGTAGTTGACGCAATATGCTCTGATACACTTGACATTGTGATCTAAAAGAGGCAATTATTTTTTATTTAAGTAATAGAAAAAATAATCAAGAAACTGCATGATCCCTAAGAAATTCATAGAAACTGCAGTCCACCTGAAAAATTATCTATATGATAAATAAACTTTTTTCAAGGCATCTTCTAGTTTTCATTCCATGGTCATAACTAGAAATATGGGTGCAAAGGGCAAGTGATCTTTAGGCTCCTAACCATAGTCATACATCCCTTCCAACTTCAAGTACATCTATTACGAAATTGTAATCTATAAATATGCTCAGAAGGGGCGTTGTCTTACCTGAATGTCTTTTCTCAGCATGATGATGGATAATCCACGGATTGGGTTTCTTGAAGTCTCTTCTACCCAATAGACTAAGTCTGAGTGTTAGCCACGCCTCCCGCTGGGCCATGCTTCCCCAGTTCCGACGAAGGTGAAGCAGCAGACAAAGTCTGACACGTTGGTTCCCCTACCCGACACAGGACCTGACAAAGGGGCGGGAGTGGATTATCCATCATCATGCTGAGAAAAGGCGTTCAGGTAAGACAACGCCCTTTCTCCAGTATGAGGATGGATAATCCACAGATTGGGACATACCAAAGCCTACACCGTCCCTATGGGGGGGAAACAGTCAGGGCATGTGTCCCTCAGGACAGCACCACACGTTGTAGCACCCTCTGGCTAAAGGAGACATCAGCGGAGGCAAATTTATCAATTTTGTAATTCCTAATAAACGGGGAGGGAGACGACCAAGTCGCCGCCCTACAAATCTCATCAATGGGTGCTTGAGTCACCCAAGCTGCTGAGGTCGCTGCACTGCGGGTGGAATGAGCAGTGATACGGCGAGGAATGGACAAGGACTGGGATTGGTAATCCTTAGCTATACAGGCCTTGATCCACCTGCCGATGGTGGTCGAAGAGACCTTCTGCCCCATGGAAGAGGACTGGAAGGAAATGAAAAGCGTTTCCGATTTGCGGAAGGCAGAGGTCCGCTTGATGTACTGTCTTAATGCTCTGCGCACATCCAAGGTGTGCCACTGGCGCTCCAGGTTGTGAGTTGGACGGGGACAAAAACTCAGTAGTATGAGTTCTTGTGATCTATGGAACAAGGAGTTTACCTTAGGAATGAACTTTGGGTCTAAGGATTACACAGTCGTCACGAAAAACGCATAGATCCTCCCTGACAGAGTGCAGCCAGCTCGGAAATGCGTTTGGCTGATGTTACTGCCACCAAAAAGGCTACTTTCATTGACAAAAAACTCAATTCACAAGACTTAAGTGGCTCGAACAGTGGCTTGGTAAGAGCATGCAAAACACATGAAAGATCCCACGAGGGTTATCTATGGACCGTGGGTGGTTTTGTGTTGGTCGCCCCCTTAATGAAGGAGCGAATCATCGGGTGATGTGCTAGAGAGGAAGAATCGTCGCATGTGAGCACCATAGCAAGAGCTGCTACTTGTCGTTTGATGGTATTCAGCGAAAGATTTTTGTCAAGCCCCTCCAGCAAATATTCCAAAATGTTTGGGACAGTGACAAATGACATGCCAATTTTATTCCTGGTACACCAGGCGGAAAAGTTCCTCCAAGTGGAGTCATAAATTCTGTTGGTAGACGGGCGCCTGGAGGCCTGAATCATGGAGATCACCCTCGGTGGGTAAGACTCCTGAGTCAGGCGTTGCTGCTCAAGTGCCAGGCGGCTAGCTGGAGCCATTGCGGGTTCGGGTGTTAAAGAGCTCCCTGGCTGAGCACAATGCGATCCGGAGGGATTCTCCACGGGGACAAGATGGAAAGGCTCATGAGGTCAGGAAACCATGGATGCCCCGGCCAGTGTGGAGCAATGAAGATGACTTTTGCCCTCTCCTGCAATATTTTGCGTATGACCACCAACATTAGAGGAAGAGGGGGAAAGGCATGTAGTAGACCCCCAGGCCAAGGACTGCTAAGTGGGTCCACTCCTTCCACCCCCGGAGACGGGAAATGGGAGGACCGCAGGAGTTGTGAATTCTCTGGAGACGCGAACAGGTCCAGAGCCGGGCGGCCGAACCTCTCCGCTATCTCTGCGAATAGAGCTGGAAGCAGACGCCACTCCGAGTGGTCTATCGTTGCTCTGTTTAAGGCATCCGCCTGTCTATTTGTCTCTCCCAAAATGTGAGCCGCCTTGATGGAAGAGAGGTTGGTGTCTGCCCAGGAGCATAGTAGCCTGGCCTCTGTCATGAGTGACTGGGACCGGGTGCCTCCCTGCCGGTTCACGTGGGCTTTTGCTGCTATGTTGTCCATGAGGACTAGAACGTGCTGCCCCTTCACCCTGTATCTGAAGTGTCGTAATGCTAGATGTATGGCTCTGAGCTCCAACCAGTTTATGTTGTGCTTCAGGTCTCGTCGGGACCATCGTCCCTGAGCCAACTGGGATTGGAGATGAGTTCCCCAGCCAAAGAGGCTGGCATCAGTGGTGAGAGTGAGTTGTGCTGGTTCCTTGAAATGTGCACCTCCGGCTATCGTTTGGGAAGTCCACCAGTGGAGACACTTCAAAATTAGGGGTGACACCCTCACTTTTCTGTTGGAAGATGTAAGTTTCCGCCTTTGAAAGAGGAGGTGGAACCACTGTAGAGCCCTGGAGTGCAGTCTGGCCCAAGGCACTATGGAGATGCATGAGATCATTTTCCCTAATAGTTGGGAGAGGGTAATCAGGGGAACCACACGGTCGTGTTGGACATGACGTACCAGTATCCTGATACTGACCTGGTGGTCCGGAGACAGATAGACCATCCACTGTTCCGTATCTATGACCGCCCCCAAATGAAGAAGACGAGGGAACTAACTGGCTCTTGAGGAAGTTCACAGAGAACTTGTGGTTCTGAGGTACCTCGATGGTGAGTGCTACATCCGCCCTTGCTGTCTGAACTGACAAAGACTGTATGAGAATGTCGTCCAGGTAGCACTGGATCCGTATTGGAACCAGTCTCAGGTGGGCGGCTAGAACCGTCAAGATCTTTGTGAACACCCTCGGAGCGGATGACAGGCCAAATGGCAGAGCTCTGTATTGATAATGACAGGATTTGTAACAGAATCTGAGAAATCTGCAATGTTGGAAAAGGATTGGCACATGTATGTATGCTTCTGTGAGGTCGATAGACGTCAGGAAGTCGTGCCTCCTGAGGCTGGTCAGGATGGATTGTAGAGTCTACATCTTGAATTTTTTGTACAGTATTTAGCCTCTTTAGATCGAGAATGGCTCTCCATCCTCCCGAGGCCTTCGGCACTACAAAGAGGATGGAATAAAAACCTTTCCCTATCTGTTTGGCCGGGACTGGTTCCACGGCCTTTATTTCCAAAAGATGATTTATAGCCTCGTTCATGAGGTTCCTTTTGGTTGGATTTAAGGAAGCTGGGCACTGGATTAACCAATCCGGTGGTCTGGATAGGAACTCCAATGACAGACCGTATTCTATGGTGGATAGAACCCAAACGTCTGTGGTGGTGGCTTCCCAGCTGTGAATAAAGAGGGAAAGCCTGCCATCTATGGGAGGGGTTCCTCCCTAGAGTAATTTATTCCTCCTAAAGTGATGGCCCCCCATGCCTTGAAAGGGCCGCTTTGATTGAACCTGCTGCCTGGGCTTGGGCCCAAAGCGGTCCAATTGACATTCGACTCTGGGGGGGAAAGAGCGGGGTAGTTGAGACCACTCCGTCCCTGAAGTAGTATGAAAGGTTTATTTCCGATAATATGGGGTAGCTTTCCTGTCCACCCGCCTGGCCTGGTGTACTAACACCCTCTTCTTGTCCCAATTTTCCACCAAGCAGGGATCGAGAGCTTCCCCAAACAGATGACTCCCAGTGTAAGGTGCAGTGGCCAGACGCCATTTGGACGCCATTGTTTCAGCCAGAACAGCCTGCAAGTTGATACATTTAAGGCAATTGCCCTGGCCAAAAATCTGGCTGCATGAAGTGTGGCATCCGCCATGTACTCTGCCAGACCAAGTAACTTACCCAAGGTTTGGTGGGCCCACACCTGTTCCTGGGGAATCATGGCCTGAAGCTCTCGAAGCCAAATGATAGAAGACCTGGAAAAGAAGGATGCCGAAGTGGAAGCCTTCACTGCCCATCTGGATACCTGATGTGACCTGCGCAAAGAAAACTCTGATTTCTGTTCCTCCGGCTTCAATGCCTCCAGCATATCACCTGGTATGGTGGAGGGGGAGAAGATAGGAGTTTATGATGTGTCTACTGCCGGGACCTCTAGTAAATCCAACAGTAACGGAGCCACATTGAAAAGTTTATCAGTGGCCCCTGGAGCAGGGGGGGCACTAAGACTAGCTCATTGCTTCTTTACCATATTAACGAAAAATGGGGGAGACGGTATATGTTTTTGGGGCACGGTCGGCTCAGAAAACAGTGAGTCTGGTGTATGACTGGTGGAAGGGATGGATTGTGGTTCTTGCTTGGGTGCAATCTTAGATGCTGCGGAGGCCTTAGCTAGAATAGACCTGAATAATGTGGGATCAAATAATCCCACGAAGGGAGAGGGTTCCTGATGCTGGAGAAACAATGGTTACTGGAAGGCAAAGTTTTTCTACAGGCAAATTTAAAATGACTATTCTGAATCACACATATTGTTATCACTATATTCAGTACTATATGTAATTTCCTTTTACAAAGCATGCTGTTTTGACGCACTCACCAAACCTGACTCTGGACATGTTGTCTGTTCAACAACATTCATAACTATTACAAAAAGTTCATAAACCTCCACAATTCTGCCCCTACAGAATTCTGCCCAGAAAGCTTTATTCTTCTTGTGAAAGTATGTAAGCTAACACCAAACATAACAGAGTGGATCATTTAGTGTATAAACCATACTGTACAATAAGTGGCTGGGTTATACTATTGTGCAAAAGCAGCCACCAATCTTAGCATATTAAAACATGATTACAAATAATCCTTGACTTACTACCACAACTGAGCCCAAAATTTATTTTGCTAAGTGAGACATTTCTTAAGTGAGGTTTGCCCCATTTTATGACTTTTTTGCCTCATTTGTTAAGTGAATCATTGCAGTTGTTAAATTCATAACACTGTTGTTAAATTAATTTGGCTTCCCCATTGACTTTGTCAGAAAGTTGCAAAAGGAGGTCTCATGACTCTGGGACAATGCCACTACCATAAACATGAGTCAGTTGCCATGTGTCAGAATTTTGATTATGTGACCTTGGGGAACGCTGAAATGGTCATGTGAAAAATGGTCATAACTGTTCTGTCCCAGTCTACATAAATACTGCTCAACCGCTTACTCGGCTGTTCCTCCTCTTTGCTCAGTTCAGGTCCCCAACCCAGCTGTCCTCTGCCTGAGCGTGAGTAGATGGGTCTGGTGTCACATCTAGCTCTGAGTCTTTGTGCTCCTCAGAGCCTTCCACAGACTCCAATATGAACCCAGGCAACCCTTCCCCCTCATCCAATTCATCTGACTTGGCTGCTGGATCTGCTGGCAGGTGAGGACTCACAACAACTCACTTTTTTCAGTCCCATTGTAAGTTCAAACAGTCACTAAATGAAGTGTTGTAAGTTGAGGACTACCTGTACTTACAGTGATCTGTTACCAGATGATGCAACTATCAATGGTAGCTTCGGTTTTCTAGGGAGTAGCCATATTGGGCAGTACCCCTAGGTATTTTGTTTTCATGGTCAACTGCCTTTTCTTTTAGTTTAAATACTGTAATCATAATAACTCTATCAGGGTTAGAGCCACTAGATTTGACCAAATCTTCCCTATACCTTCATCTGTGTACATGGAAAACAGGACTGTAATTATAGGATGCCTATTTCTGCAAAGTTACTATAGTTTGTTTCTATGCCAGATGTCAGAATAGATGGCTAATTTCCAGTTAATCCTCTTTTTGAGGTCCAGTCAATGAATAAAGCTCAGATCAAGATGAATTAAACAACTAATCCTAGATAGTATGTGGTTTTTGGCCTTCTTCCTTACAGCAGAATATGTGAGTTTGTTCTGGGTGTTACATTTTCTTCTCTGGATCAAGGAAATTCATGATATGATTTGTAATATCTTTTATTTAACTGTGCATTACATTTACAGACATAATTTACGTATTTATGGTCTTTTAGTTTGGAATTAATTGAATCCTGAGTACTATCCTTCCAATTTAAATGACATAGGAGATAGGTTTCATAGAAATCATGGGAACAGTGGAAAGAAAATTATATATTATCATCATTATCTCCTGCCTTTATTTTATACAATTCAAGGTGGCCTACCGGATTTTCTTTCACAACAGTAACAATAAAAGTGAGATGGATTGGCTGAGAGTGACTGGCTAAGTCACCCAGCCACACTCTGTGTCTATGGGAGATGTAAAAGCTAATCCATTATACCAAACTGGCTCATCATAAATTCCTGACAATGAATTTATAATATGAAAGCAGATATATTCACGTAGCCGGGACTCAGCAAAACTATTTTTAACTCACAGTATTCCCATTTTGGAATCTTCACTAAGATGGGAATATTTTTTCAAACTATGAAACTGTAGTTTTGATTTTTCATATGTGTGTAACTAGTACAAAATAAACTACATCAGTATTGCTATAATCCAATTCAAAACCATAATTAAAATATAGAGCATTGGTAACTTGAAAAGGCCAAACAATAAAACAATAATTATAACCTGTAATTTAATTTCATTCATTTTAGTCTAATGATTAGGTGTTGCCCAACTCCAGAATAACTTTGGGAGGCTCATAATATGACAAAGAGAATAAAATACAAAACAACTCAAAAACCAAGGACAAAATAAAGAACAAGATAGCAAATCTGATCAACCAAACATAAATCACAGAAACCCCAATGGGCTCCAACCACCTCCCCCAAGACCTGTGAGAACAGCCAGGTCTTGAAGCCCCTTGGGAATCCTAACAGGGTGGGAGCCACTTGGATCTCAGAGGGAATCACATTCCAGATGGCAGGTACTATAACAATATATGCAGCATAAAATTAATTTCTGATCCAACTTCACAAAAGCTAATTAAAATGCTTTAAACACAGTTTTCAATTGTGTAAACCATACTCTAGGCATAAGATATAATTTTGGTGGGAGTTGATTCCAAAGGACTGCCACTAGATGGGAAAAACTTTAGGCTATCATGTGGCTATTTTACTATGCTGAGATTCCAGCTGTCTCTGCCTAGAATCTAGATCAGACATGTCAAACTCACGACGTCACATGATTTCGCGCCAACATCTCAGAGTTTTCCCCATTGCCGGCAATTGGGTGGGTGCGGTTTCGTCGTGACGCGTCCCCATGGGCCGGCAGTTTGACACCCCTGATCTAGATGATTTGGTCAAGTGCAAGGCATGTAAGATGCAAGCCAATATTCTAAGTCATTAAGTACTCTGGCATGTAACCACTAGTAACAGAATTGTACTGGATCAGGGATCAGAGAAAATTGACTGATCCAAACATCCAAATATAAGATAATCAAGACAAACAGTTGCTCTGTTGTCTCTATGGCTAAGAACCAATGTACTCTATGAATATACATTACACAAATGCTTCAGATTTTAGTGGATTTATTAATGAAGGGCTTTAAAGGAAACTGATCCCCAGATTCCTAGAGTAAAGAAAGCCCACATTTGGTGGCAATGAAGATACAAAGGGATGGGTTAATCAGTATAGAAAACAATAATCTCTATTCATATTGAGTTTCAGAGAGTAGGAATTCAATCAATCAAAAAGCCCACCAAGGTTTTTTTGGAACAGGATGCTGACAAAACAGGGACAGAGAGATACATTTGGGAATTGTCAGTATATGTGCAACAATTAACTGATGCAAAGAAATCAGCTGATCCAAAGGAAGCATGTATGAAGTAAATTAAAAAGAACTCAACACCAAATCCTTGAGAACATCCATCTATATGCTAAAGGCTGAGAAAGAGAAAAAGCATACAGATGTGAAATCACTGAAATATGGTCAGGTGACAAAGATAAGCAAAATATATTATATAAAAGAACAGTAACTTTATTCTATAGTGCAAAACAACTGAGCCTATAGAAAATCAGTTCTCCCCAAAGCACTACAGTAGAACATATTAAGTTTCTGTTACTTTCTTACAGAGCCTACAAAACAGATTTTCCAGGCACCTTAAAATTCATTTTTTGCTTTCCCAATCTTTACAATTTTCATCTCTTTGCACCTGTCTATTGTTACACCTCTCTTATCCAACTCCAGCTCTCAATCTTATCAAGAAAACCACCAGTTCTATAAACTCTATTACAACAGTGTTCCCATCCTTCCCCATAACCAAGTTCTAATTGTATCCCATCTTAGAATGTATATTACTAAAATACATCCTGGTTGTAATAATCACTGAAGTCCCTTGAAAAGTCAAGTTTTTCATTTTCATCACAGAGAACTCATTAGAGAACATTAACATGACATAAAGTCTTTGAGTCCAACTTGATTTCTTGTGACTTCATGGCCATAATAACAATTGATAACAATTTATAAGTGACTTACTATTGCCTTCCAAGATTCCACAAGTCAAATGACTTCCTAGTGATCTCCTATCAAACCAGGCGCAAGCTTATTTAACTTCGGAAGAGTTAGCAAAAGTGGTATATAGCACACTAGCTGAGGAAGAAAATATATTGTATATACTTTTAAGTACATCCATTAGGAAATTGTGATCTATAAATATGCTCAGAAACAATGGTTAGTAGAAAGCAAAGTATACTTGTATACTTTAAAAGTAATGCTTTTATATACTTTAATCCATTCTACTATTACATTACAAAATCAAAAGGGTTTAAAAGCTACAGGGTCTTTTTTTTTTTAAAACCCTCTTAATGACTAAACTGATTTATCCTAAAATTGGGTTGGGCACCAGAGTCCTGTCAGATACCTCAAGGCACTGCAATCCCAAAGGCATTCAAGGTTTGCTTAATGCAGACGAGCTCACGGCAAACTGCAGAAGACTACGTAATTTGGAAGCTGCCCACGGGGGCAGGTCTATACATTGAGATGTCCCCCCCTAATTACATTCCCACGTGAATGTGGTTTAAAAACAGCAGAGCGAGGGAAGAATCTGCAGAGTAATCCTACGCACGTGGAGTACGGAGCCACCGGGAGCAATAGGGCTAAAACGCAAACGTGTAATCCGAGCATTTGCCTCATAGGGCGGTTTCCCATCGCCACTGAGAGGAAAGCAACGCACCTGGACTATAAAAGGGAGATTTTTTTTCTCCCCCTCCAGGAAACATAACTGGGTGGTCACAATGCGAGCACACCACTCAGTCCTCAAAAGGAAGGAAATGGTCTCCATCCTATCGCGGGCTTAAGCTCTCCTCCCGACCGCTTTCCTCGCCTCACCGCCGGCGCCTTCCCGCTTCTCTTTCTCCAACCCGCCTCAGCGCCCCGCACAACCGCCCTCACTTTCCATTCCCCGCCCCCTGTCGAAACTCCTTTCCCGCGCGTGCGCAAGTCTTCCCCTGCACTTTCCCAGCGGGTGGGGGAAGGGGAAAAGAGGCCGTAGTTTTTCTTGCTGGCACTTGCGCACTCCCCGCGCTCTTTCCAGCCTTTCACCTGGGGCTTGGGCGGGCGGTCACGAGGCTATTGCGTCATCACCGTCACCTCGACGGCGGCGCCGGCGGGAGCAACCGTTGCCTTTAGGGCCGCGAGCGGCGCGCGAGAAGTGGGTTAACGCCCGCCCCCTCGGTGCGCGAGAATACGGTATTTGCTCTGGTTTGGCCCCTCCCCCGACCCTCCCCCTTTCTCTCACCGTAGTCTAAGCCAAGCTAGGCCGGAGCGCTGAGAGGATCCGGGGGGGTGGGGGGAAACTGTCGCTACCGCCACCCAGTCTTGAGGCCGCTGCGGGGGTAGGTTCCGCCGGGACCTAGAGGCCAGCCGCCGCCATGCAAATCACTCTGAAGACCCTGCAGCAGCAAACCTTCAAGATAGATATCGACTGCGGCGAGACGGTACGGCCTGAGGGAAAGGGGCGAGAGGTCGGGCTGGAGCTCTGAGCTGGTGTGTGTGCATGTGCGTGTGGTGGTGGGGGGCTCTGGCGGGTGGAAGCCCCACATTCGGAGGCGCGGGATTCCGAGGCCCATTTTCCGCAGCGGTGTGGGAAGTTCTGCCGCGAAAAGTTGGGGCCCTATCAGCGAAGGGACAGCGAGAGGCCCTGGAATCGTGGAGGGCCTCAAAGGACAGCACGCGCGAGAGAGGGAGAGGAGAACTGGTCTTTCTGAGAGAAAAGAACAAGGGGGCACGTCCGCCAGGCCTCCCGGGCGGTCCGAGGTTGCGGCTTCCTCTTTGGCGCCAGGCCTTGGCGCAGCTTTGGAGCCTTTCGGGGAAGGGGACGAATCTCCTCGCCTGCTCATCCTTCTCCCCCCCCCGTGGGAAGTGACGTTTAAACTGAACGTTCTCCACCATTCCTCCCCCCCTCCCTTGTCCTCCCCCTGTGTGCCAACGACGACGGGAGGAAGGAGTTCGCCGAGTGGCTCCTGCGGTGTCCTAGACTAGGACTTTGCCATGACTCTGCGTTATTTCGAGGAGGGCGGGGGTGTAAATGCGCGTGGGACCCGCGCGCACGCTCTCTCCCCCCTCCCTCCGCCAAGGTATGCTGGTGATAGGCTGTGATGCGTGAAAGGTGGGCAGAAGATAGGCCAGCTTTCTCTCCTAAAGGTTAAAGGGTGTCTTCCGCCAGGAGAGCGTTTTGCGTCGGACAGGTAAAGGACACCACGCATCGAAATACTGTAGGTACAGTGTGTGGATTGGAGGTAAACTGACGGTTTATGCTGCAGTAAACATTCTGCTGAGATCTGGGAGAAGTAAAGTATCTTTATACAGGTAGCTTAACAACAGTTCATTTAGTGAGCTGTCATTCAGCTGCCCTGTCCTCATGATGTTCCTTTATCTCATCCCCAGCTCATGAGTCAGATAGTATTAAAATCATCCTTTGGTTTATTCATACTTAGCCCTTTTATTCTGGCACTGTTCAGGTGGAGCCTGAGAATATACAGGTAGTCCTCGATTTGCAACAGTTCGTTTAGTGACTGTTCAAAGTTATAACGGCACTGAAAAAGAGTGATGACCGTTTTTCACAGTTACAATCTTTGCAGCATCCCCGTGATCGTGTGATCAAAATTCAGAGGCGTGGCAACTGGTTCATATTTATGATCATTGTTGTATCCCAAGGTCATGTCATCTACCTTTTGTGACCTTCTGACAAGCAAAGTCAATGGGGAAGCCAGGCTCATTTAACCACCAGATTACTAATTTATCAACTCCAATGATTCACTTAACATCTGTGGCAAAAAAGGTCGTAAAATGAGGCAAAACTCACTTAACAAATGTTTCAAGAACAAATTTTGGGCTCAGTTGTGGTTGTAAATTGAGGGCTACCTGTACTAGATGCACTAAATGGAGCTTTTGGAGCTAAAGCTTATTGGCAAATCTGAATAGCAGAGGATAATTTCTTAGCCATGGCATAGGCCTGGTTACTTAAGGGACCGCCTGTTTCCCGTAACATCTGCCTGGCTGATTTGATGCTGCAAGGTTGGTGCACTCCAATTTTCTTCAATTAAACAATCTCATCTCTCAGGACCCTGGAAGCACTCTTTTATGTGTTGTAGTGCCTGCCCTTTGAAACAGAGTTCTCCCTGAGTACCAGATGGCCCCCACTCTGTTGTTTAAAAGAGCTGTGAAGAACTGGCTCTTCACCCATGCCATCAGGGAGAGAGAATGAGACCAGTTGCTTCATTGTGCTTGTTATCTTTATTTTTTTATCTTTTATGATTTGATTTGTAATTTGTGAGTCAAAATCAGACAGCATAGAAGTTTAATAAATTATTATTAATAGCTTTAATGATACCATTTTTTCCCCAAAGTGAGTTCGTTCAGAAAGAAGATTGGGAAGTATTAGTGTATCTCAGTTCTCACTAGTAGAGTTTTTCTGTTGTCTGGTAGGCAATTTTATATTTGTGAAAAAATGAGATAAGCAATGGTTGAAGTTTAAACTCTGTTTTAAACTCTGTTGAACTTTGGGATTTTCAACTACTAAGTCTGACTTCTGGTGCTAACAAGCTATTCAAAGTTATTTGTGTTATTTAAACACAAAAGCATATGGTTTAATACAGTGGTTCTCAACCTTTAATGCCGTGACCCCATAATACAGTTCCCCATGTTGTGGTGACCCCCAACCACTTATACATCACCGGGTGCCAGGGGCGTGGCCAAAGAAAAGAGGGAAAAAAATGGCGGACAGCCTTGTTTGGCGACCCCCGTGAAATGGTCATTCGACCCCAAATGGGGTCCCGACCCACAGGTTGAGAACCACTGGTTTAATATGTTCTTTATTTTACATTGGGTATTTTGTATCAATAGCTGGAGTTTGGCAGATAAAGATGCTTTAATTTACTACTACATTCAGCTTATCTATGTTTAACCATTCACTTGTTCACAATGCTTGTATCTCTTTCTGGGCAAGGACAAGTTTGTTTAAAATGTTGCAATTGTGTATAGATACAGCTTCATTAAAAACTTTAGAAAGATGCTTACACACACACACACACACACACACACACACACACACACACACACCTCCCTCCCTCCCCTAGTCCTCGGTTTCTGTTCCAAAAGTGATATTTGAAATTCTAGCAAATGTCAGCAAGAAAGTACATTTTGCAAAATGTTACACAAATTGCAAAATTACTTTGCAGTTAGTGGGATTTCAATTAAACCCAGGAAATTTAATTTCAGCAAAATCTGTTGAAATGTTGATGCATTGTGTTTACATATCCGTCTCATATCTATGGACAACTATTCAGAGAGAATTAGTAATTTCCCAGAGCCACTCATTAAGTCTCATGAACCTGAATCTCCTCAGTCCTGATTTCACATTTACATTATCTTAGCAAATATCCTAAATAGTGGGCCAAGTACTACAGTTGTATTTTTAATGCTTCATGCCAGGCTTAGTAGAGTATTGTGATCTATTAATTAGAAGCTTCTGTTGTGAAGTATGACCCTGTACAATTTTTCCAGTATTGTTTAACAGATTATAAATAATTTTCAACTAATGTATGCTCACATATATTTTCTGTATATGTCAAATTACACATTTTCTAGAATTTAATAACTACATTTATGACTTCATTATTTGGGGAGGTGGTTTAAATTGTATTGAAACAAATATTGTAGTCTATGAAAGGATTTTTTTCTTGTTGAGTGTCCTTTGTTTTCCTCATAAATTAAAATTTGTGTCTGGGAGCATATTTTTATTAATACTTCATTCTGGAATATGAGGCACAATTGTGTTTTTATTCTACAGAACTCATTGTGTGGTTCAAGGTAAATTATTGCCTTTTTTAAAAAGCTCAATAATTCTATTGATCCATTTTCAACTATACATAAAATATAAAATAAAAATGAACAATTTACCAAGTTCCTGTCTTAATTTCAAGTACATTTATAATAAAATTGCTAATTAAAAAAGTAATGTTTCCTTCTAGTCAAATTGATTTCATGGTGACTTCATGCCAATTTCTTTGCAAGGGTACATAAATTTTGGTTTGTAGGTTTTTAAAAAACATTTAAGGCTAATTTACAGCACTGGTATTTCCAGGATGCCTTCAAGTAGTAGTACCAGCAGTAGTAGTACATCATCCACAGATGATAGTCTAAGCCCGCGGTAGGCAACCTTGGCTCTTTTATGACTCGTGGACTTCAATTCCCAGAATTCCTGAGCCAGCATGGCTGGCTCAGGAATTCTGGGAGTTGAAGTCCATGAGTCATAAAAGAGCCAGGGTTGCTACCCCTGGTCTAAGCCAAGAAGGAAGGAAATAAAAAACCTGACGAGTTCTCTACTGGGAACATGGGCACACTGTTAAAACTTGTTCCATGATTTGTTCTGATTTTGTGTCAGCCTGCTGCACGCTAATTACACATTTTGAGTTCTGTAATACATAAATTGAAATATAATTATTAAAATTAATCAGAATACAGGTAGTTCTTTACTTATGACCAGTCACTGGTCAAAGTTACAATGAACCTGCTCCAAAGCTACTTAAAACCAAGTTGTGGTTTCATGATGCCAGCCTACATTTATGGCCATTTGCAACATTCTGTAGTCATCTGACTACAATCTATGTGTTTTTGTCAGAAATTGGACCTGGGTTTGCAGCAAATACAGTGGGTTCGCTCAATTGAATTTTAAACTAAGATCCTTGTTTTAATGTTTTATAGTGCATTTTAATTGAAGTGGCTTAGATTTACCTCCAGCGAGTTTAATTAATTAATAAAATAAACAATGCTGCATTCTCTAATGACTGCCACTTTTGATGAATGACTGCTATATTCACTTAATGACAGCTGTAACAAAAGGACATAAAATGGGATGCAGTTACATCGTGACCTGCTTAATGACCAGCACAATTTACAACTAAAGTTCCAGGTTCAATTATGGTTGTGAGTCAGGGACTGCTTTTGCTTATTTCTTACCTTCCCTATCTCCAATTAAATCGTTAGTTTTATTCATGGGGATTCATACAGATTTGTTTATTGTTTTAGGTGGACTTAGTACCACAAAGTTTGAGAATTCCTGGGATTCCATAGAATATTAGTAAAAAGTTAAGTGAAGGATTTAAAGCTATTTATAAAATATTTCTATTTGGATTTTATTCCAGTAATGCAAAATTCAACAGTTTTATGTCCCAACAGAACAAAAGTCTACTTTTTTTGTAGTACTTAGAAAATTATGGCAAACTGAATTGGTACCTTTGTTTGGGTTTGGAAAAATGAAAGAATCATAACTGGAATATTTGGAGACAAAACACCTGCAGCTTTTTGAAGACTTTCTGGTAGTGTTGGTAACTTGATTTCTTTGGCACTAGGATTTTATCATGTCTCTTCAGCAATCATTATCTTGCATTAGTGAATATTTATGGTTTCAAGTCTCCATCCCGCATCGTTTTTTCAAGTGTATAGGATAAATGTTGCTTAATCTCTGCTGAATTTTATCTTTTGTTAATTAGGTCATTAATTAGATCATTAATCAACTTTAGCAAGCCTTTATTTGTAGGTTCTTTTTTCACTTCTAGTGATTGATTCAGTTTTAATTGCCTGGAATTGCCAAATGTAGCTTTAAAGCGGTTGTATAAAACACATGGAAATAATAGGAACCACTGAAATGATTTAGTTTTTTCCCCCAGATTTGTCAGTAACTGCAGATTTTGAATCTCCTTTCCTTTAGACTATGCATTTACAAGTATAATTTTTATAAACAGTATTTAACTGAATAGTAGTGTTTAGGGAGATTGGAACTTCAAATGACCAAATAATCAGCATATTTCTCACCTGGAGAATTTAAGGGTTGGGGGGGGGTTGTTTTTGTTTTGCTTTCTACTTCTTTTTAGACAGAGTGTCCTTTTTTAATTGTTGAGGTCTGAAAAATAAGATAAAATATAATTTCCAAAAAGTAGTGCCTCTTTTCATCTGGTGGAATGATTCCTATTTAGAGAACAAAATATAACATAAATAACATATAGTTCTTCATTTAGGAAATACAAATCATCCAGATAGGAAATATCTGCCTTGGGAATAATGGTTGTGAAAAAGTCCTTGGAATACTGGCGATCACAATTGCTTAATAATAATGGCAATCTATAAAAATAATTACCCATCTGCACATAAATACTTGGGCTGTATGGTGGTTCAAATTTGCAAGCAAAAAAAAGATGCCTTGGAACACCGATATAATGCCTATATGCAGCTTTTTAAATCAGCTACAGGTAAAGCTTGACTTACGACTGCAATTGGCACCAGATTTCTGGTCCTATGTTGAGGCACTCACGTGAATAGACCTAATTTTACAACATTTTTGGGGAAGGCCATTAAGCAAATCACTATATTGTTATACTTGAACGATGTTTTTGCTGAAAACTGGCAAAAAAGTCACCAATTATCCTCATATGACTACAGGATGCTGCAAACATTTATATAACAGGCAAAAGGGACCGTAAAGCACTCCTGGGGCTATTGTAATGTTGAATAGTTTTTAAGCAACTGATGACAAATGACTATCTATATATTTTTTCTGGGATCCCTCCCCCTCCATCCCATTTGTGTCAGAGGCACCCATTTTAAGGCTCTTCTGGGTTGAAAGGATTAGCTGGTAATATCACTGTTGCCCTGAGGATGCCTGTTGGACTCCTTTCATGTGGCTGTCAAGGAGCTGGAGCAAATGACGAGAGCTCACCCCGCCATGCAACAGCACTTGGGTCTCAAATGTAGGCTCGCTAACCACCAACACAGCATCCTAACCACGGGAGCCACTGCCCTCCTCTTTCTGGGACCATATAATTCGTTTCTCAGCTGAGGTTATAGGATTCCTGGAAAGGTCACTAGGGGTTCCCTGGGCTATAGTGATTTATTTTAAATCAGCAGAGACCGAACAAAAACCCTCCAACACTGGGATGGCCTGCCAGAGTGTGAGGAGAGGAGCAAGGAGTAAGCCGAGGGAGGAGCAGCAGTGCATGTGAGAGAGATACACCCAGGGACCACAGGCTGGGGTCTCCTTGTCAGTACACACTTGCCTTTCTGAGGTGCAGTAATATGGGGGACTTCACCAAACTTTACCAAGCTGACCAATCTTTTAAGGATTAACAATTTTTTGGGAGGGGGGCTTACTGTATATGGATTTGAAGTTGGAAAGCTTTGTTTCTAATACTTAATTTTATCTTGCAAAATATAGTCTTTCCATAGATACCGTAGGTCACAACTGGATTACTGTTAAGCTACCACAGAAAATATCAAGTGTTTGCTGGCATTTTGAAAATAAAGTGTTTATTACCCTAATGCTTTATATGAAAGCTACTCAACTTCTTTTAACTAAAAATATTTATTATAGGTGAAAGCATTGAAAGAGAAGATTGAATTAGAAAAGGGAAAAGATGCTTTTCCAGTAGCTGGCCAAAAATTAATATATGCAGGTAATGCAATTATGACATTTTATGGGGATGTGTGTGTGGATGGTTAGAGAAGCAGTATGTAATTAATAATATTCTGTGAATGACATACAATTTAATCCTAGTTTTTCTTTTGAGTAGATAAAATCTAATCCATTAACTATGAAGTTATTTAGATTTTATTTTATCTCTAATTTTTCCATCTTTGTAACCAAAATACTTTTTCCACACCCATTCCCTATCTGAATGGGAATAGCAATAGCAATGAGGAGTTGACATGTATTCTCCCAAAGAGCACAATGAAAATATTTTCGCAAATAATTACCAATCGTTAATAAAATACATGTCCTATATTCCTATATTTCCTGTAAATTATGCTTCCAAAAAAAAAAAATACTAATCTCACCCCTCCTGTTTTGAGCCTGAAATGCCCCTAAAAAAATCAGAATGAAGCACATGTATTTTGAATATTTCCTTAGGAAAATAATCTTGGAATGAGCTGTTTTAAATAGCATTAGATGGTAAGAGTTTTTTTTTAACCTATTCCAGCAGCCGCAGTTGTTTTACCTCTTGAAGTTGGGATATTGTCCTTTGAATTTGGTTTGGACCAATTTGTTTATTTTTGGTAAAACCTGAGGAGAAATTCATGTGTCCTTCTTAATATGTGGCGAGATGAAATAGGACAAGTTGCTGGACTGTTGGTCACATACATGGGGATGCTCTGTGCCTACAATACATTAGGCAGGCTACAGCTGTATATTTGTCTTAAAGAGCACTAACTCTGTATCCAAAATTATCCTAGCCGATAAGTCATACGTACAAAGAGGCATAGCATGAAGTCAGAGTAATTGATTAATAACAATTTTGGTAGTTCTGTATAAATAATGTCATCTGGGAAAGTCTTTCTATTTAATATGTGATAATAGCAATTGAAACTTGAAATTTCTCTGAGCGGAATGCACTGCACAGGGTGTGGTTATGGGGAATATAGGAGGGAGCATTAATGGATGTTGCCTTGAGTTGTGCAAAACAAAAAGGACATAAATCTATCAATAATTAAATAGTTAATCAGATTTAAATAATTAGTGCTGTTTGATTCCACATCTAGATTTCTACATAGAATGAGTAAATCATTGTATTGACATGAAGATATTTGATGTTAAAGAAAGCTGACATATGACATCTTTTTTAATTTTCCAGGTAAAATACTTAATGATGATACTGCTCTTAATGAATACAAAATTGATGAAAAGAATTTTGTGGTGGTTATGGTAACAAAAGTAAGTTATTTTTTTATACTTTTATTTGTAGATAACTGTTTTGTTGTTAACCTTAATTGTTTTTCTGGACACATTCTTGATTAGTAAAGAATCTTGCTACAGACTGTTTTGTGGACTACTAAATTGTCTTACAGTGGTGAAAGTTTGTGAACTTTGGGTTCTCTTTCTATATTGTGATCTACAGTATCATCAGAGCTTCATAGAAACTCTGTTAATTAATAAGAAATTCTAGTTAAACAGAAGGCACTGCTGACTGTGGAATTCTGGGAGTTGAAGTCCACATGCCTTAAAAGTGTCAAGGTTGAGAAACACTCTTCTAAACCTTTCTGAAGGATTGCATTCAGCATGCCATACGTTTGAGAGGTTGAACCCTGGGGTACTCCGGTATATAACTAGACCTAGATACCCTAGCACAGTGGTGGCAAACCTATGGCACGGGTGCCAGAGGCGGCACTCAGAGCCCTCTCTGTGGGCACGCGTGCCATCGCCCCAGTCCTAAGCCTTCAGCTGGGTTTTATAAAACTTTTTCGCTTTAGGCCTCCGCTGCTGTGTGCAAAAAAAAAAAAAAAGGTTCAGTCCATCAGTCAATTTCAACTTCTCGCAGGAAAAAAAAAGATCTTGCAAAGTTGGTATTGATTGATTGAACTTTTTAGTCCGACCCAGTCTGTCATTACCATCGTAGCCACACCTACCAATAGGCCACACATCCCAATTGGCAACACCCAGCCAATGGGCCATACCCATCCGGCACCCGACGATGCATAAGTGGGTTTTGGGTTGCAGTTTGGTCACTCGGTCTCTAAAAGGTTCGCCATCCCTGCCCTAGCAGAATTCTGTTTAACACTTACTTGAGACTGCTGGGAGATTATTCAACACTCTGGAGTACTGTACCCAAAGTATTATCAATATGAAGAAAATACCCAGTTGTTTATCTGCATCTCAGACCAAGGGATATCAATATTAGAAGTTGTGTAATGTAATGATTTGAAATTTGAAATTTATTTTTGTATGGTTATATTTGGTTTTTGCTTTTGTAAGCCACTCAGATTTGTTGTGGTGCCAAATTAAACATTCATTGCCTTTGTTGGAAAAAAATATATATGAAGTTTTAGGTTTAAATATAATAATAATATAAAGAATATATATATTCTTTAGCAGTAATGATTCAACCAAATGTTTCTTGAATCTTTTCATCAATAGACAATATTGACCTGGAGGGATTTTGGCCCATTTGCAGAACTCCCTGCACTTATTGATCCTTTTGAGCTATCTTACATGAACTGCTCACTTCAGGTCACCTGAGAACATTTTAGTTTGGTTAATGTTAGGGATTTGAATTGGTTATACCAAAACATGAACTTTCTTTGGCTTCAGCTATATTCTAAATTTACTGATGCATTTAGGATCATTGTGTTGCGTGATCCATGTTTATTTATCTTTAGACTGATAGACAGGTATCTAACATTCTCCTATAGAATATGCTGATATAATTTAGAATTCATTGTTCCTTGATTATTGAAAATTGACCAATTTCTGAAGTTGCAGAGCAGCTCCAAACGGTGATATTTCTGCTATTCTGTTTTATTCTGAAAGTGAATGTTTATGAGGTGAAATTATTTTATGTCAGTGTTCTGTTTTTTTTTTTAATACATAACCTTCCCCATTAGTGCCAGAAATTCCCCTTTCATTTGATCTGTTGACAAGCTGTTGCTGGATCATCCAGGAGGTCTTCGGTCACTTTGGTGTTGTGCTTCCTGAAGAATAGTGGTTTTCATCTTGGTATTCTTACGTCTTGTTCTAAGCTTTGCTTATGAGAAACTCATGAACATTGATATTAGGCAGTCAGAAGCATTCTGTATTTACCTTGGAGTTCTTTGTTCCATTCTGGAATATTGTACTTTAATAAGTACTCCTATGAGGAGTAAAAACTGGATAGCAAGATGGGCAGCATCTCGACTTATACACTCTCTGTTTTATCTTGTATTGATGAAGGCCATATTTTTGTAGTCCTTCTCAGCGTCCTGAATATCAACAAGTTTTTTTCTAAAATCTGATAACTTTTTGTGTTGTTGTTGGACTGGGCTTCAGTTCCATAAACCCATTTTATGAAGTGTAGATTTCAATGGGGACAGCCAAAATATTTTCTGTAATAGGTGAAAACTGCTTCAACTCACATCTAATTGTCTTCATAAATTGTAACTTTGGTTACCCCTTTAGAAAGATGGTTATTCCTGAGGATTTCAAACAGAGCAAAAGTGTGTACCATGCTTTCATTAAAGACTAGACACAATATATGTGTGTGTGTGTGTGTGTGTGTGTGTGTGTGTGTGTTATTTGTTTAACATTAATCTGTTTATTGATGAATGATTGCACTGTAGGTCGTGATACTGCAATATTACGAATAGTTCTAAATGTTCTCTTCCCATGCTAGGTAATATCACTAGTATCTGTATTGTGACATGCAGCATTAATCACTTAGATATGCTTACCTAATTCTCTTATTGGGTTTATGGAAATCATAATGAGCTGAGTATAGATTTACTTTTTCAAGTAGCAAAGCAACCGATTAAAAGCCTATTGAAGCCGCTTTGAGGCTTCAGGACATGTACATATTATAGAAGAATTTAGGAAGGCCTTGGAAGAGCTTTGCTGGGCCTTCAGTCTGCCTTGTCTGATTTACAGTTTTGAGGGGCATGTTCAGAGAAATGGTTGACTCATTGAATTATTAGTTCAAACCTGTTTCTACTGGAGAAAAAAACTACTGTAAATGCAGGTGAGAAGCTGTGCACCGTTCACATGAAGCAATTCAAACTGTAATAAAGAGGTAACTTTTAGATGAACTTGGAGAAAGACCTAATTCTTTCATCTTTATAGCCCAAAGCGGCAGCTGCTCCATCTCCAACTACAGCACAGCAGTCAAATGATACCACCACTACGGTTACTTCTACAACACCTGCTGCTGTGCCGAAACTAGTCCCTACTCCTGTTCCTGCACAAGTTTCAGTATCTGCACCCACTGCTTCAATACCAGCTACAGCAGCAGCGTGTGAATCTGCACCTGTAAGTGCTACTGTAGAAGAAAAACCAGCAGACAAACCAGTAGAAACACCACCAGCCACCAGCCCAACATCTACAGAAAGGTATTGCAGAACATTGGAAATCGGACTTTTGCTTCTCGTTCACATTCAGACTAAATGCAGTGAATATTAAAAACAATTTGCAACCGAAAGGGAATTATAGTCTTAGGCTGTTTAACACAGTAAATATCTGAAAGGCAGTATCACATACCGATGTATTTTTACACTCTGTGTCTTTTTAAAGCTTTTGTGGTGTAAAGTTTTAGCTGTTGAAGCCACACTGTACATACACATGGCGGCTCTTGGTTGCCTTTTAACATATATACAGATTTATTATTAAGAGACTGCAACTCTGAGTTGCTCAGGTGGGCACAGTATTGTAATTGTGTATTAGACTTGTAAATGGTCATAACCATACACTTCACAGTCATACAATTCTCAGCAGTTTTCTAGGGGAAAAAATCATTCAGTAATAATATAGCATTAAATTATATAAAAACAGAATGTAATTGTGATGTCCTTCTTAACATTTTTGCCATGTGTTAAATAAAATTAAAAACTCTGGCACATAATTCTAGGCTGCTGCCTTAACTAAATACAGTGGGATTCAGAGAGGATCTTGTAAGGAGAAAGCATAAAATGCCATCCTATATTGCAGTGTAAATTATCTCCTGGATCCAACTGACTGCCCTTCTGGCTCTTGCTAAGCCCATGTCACCTTGTGTTGTCAGCAGCTAGTCAGGCAATTGATAGAACTGTATTAATGTGAGATCTCCTTAGGCTTCCCATATCCCTCCCTCCCTCCTGACCCCTCTCTCTCAACAGCAAGGTGGCTGGTATTTAGACAGCCTCCTTTTTTGTCTCAGCTATCCAATTTAGCAAACAGGCAATCATATCTGGCCACCTCTGGCAGAAAAGTCCTGATCCTGATCCAGATGTCTCGCATTGGTGCAGCTTTGCCAGTAGTAAAAAAGAGAACAGTTTTATTAGCTGGGTCTGCAATATCTGCATTTCAGTGGTTTGCAAATTAATGTACTATGAATTTTATTTTTCTGAAATGGTAGCCAGATGGATGCTTGTCAGTATTAATTTGGAAAGTATTACTAGTTTCTGCTAAGTCATTTTCAATAGACAACAATAAAAGTGTGTTTATTTTAAATAAAGAACCATGCTCAAGTTCACACAATGTGGACATGATTAAAACTCAAGTAAGTTGTAATTCCTAAATGTCTACTTTGTACTGTTCTGTGTCTTACTTTTGTGTTGCTCGTTGATTCCAACCTTAAGCTCTGGTAAAAATGAAATGTATGCCAGTGAAGCTTGGTTTTTATTATACAATTTTTAAGTCACTTTAGATTCTTTATTAGCAAATTTTTAATAAGAAAAATATCTTAACTCATAGGACAGGTATTAAATATGTTTGTTTTGTTCCAATGCAGTTCAATAGGAGATATTTCTCGATCAAATCTTTTTGAGGATGCTACAAGTGCACTTGGTAAGTATTTCCTGATAGTTCAGTGGCTCATTTGTAAAAAAAATATTCGCTACCATCATTTTCCTCTCCCCGTCTCTGCTACTATAATTTTAAGATGCCAGTTGCTTCTTAATAATATTTTTATTTTCCATGCCACAAGTTACCTATATGTCTTGGATTTCTATGTGAAAGGCTAAGGAATAATGTAAAAGGGAAGTGGATTGCATACTTTTCTTTGAGGGATTTCTGTCAGTTGTATATATTTCTGTTTTTATTCTATATTTTTACTCTGTTGTACACAAGCCAGAGTCTCCAGATTAGAATGGGTTATCATAATAATCAAATAAATCGGTTTTCAGTACTAAATTATTCATGAAGACAAAAAAGCCATATAGATTTTCAAACTATGTGCTAAACTTTCCGAATTTCTGAGTTACTTGCAAATTGTTCTAACCTGAATCATTTCTCTAAGCTGTTACTGTTTGGTATCTTGTGATAAAACATGTCTTAGTAGATTTAAAAGAAAGCAATCTATTCAAAGAAGCAATTCTGAATTGTAGTCCAATCAGATGTTCTTACTTTCCACCCCAGCTGCCAGTGTTGATATAAGATCAGTCTTTATAAGAATGGATGTCTGTACATTTTATATACAATTTATTTCCAAGCGTATATCAATTGAATGATGCAGCAGAGGGGATGGGCATTTTTTTTAAATGTTTGGTTGAACTATTTTAATCAGGCTATTTGAATACTGGTTTCTGGTTGGTTGTTTTTATATTAGAATATGCTAGTCCAGTTAACAACATTTACTTGAGAGTTTTTCCTTTTCAAATCTTCTGCTACAATTCAGCATTTCTCCAGGATAAGATCTGCAGTAATTTTAAAAAAACATAGGGGGGAACTATCTGTCAGTATCAGCTGTCTTCTCAGCCTCTTCTGTGTCCATTCTATTCCACTTCTTTTTCTGCTAAACTGGTTCTAGTCAGTTCAACTTACTTGATTTCCCTGAATCCCCCCCCCAAAAAAAATAATAATCTGAAAATTGTCTTTTGTTCCTAAGTTTGCTTGTAAGAGTTAGAAATAGAAGTGTAAGGGCCAGCAGGGAAACATAATCTTGATGATTGTCACAGCACAGCAATGCTTACTACTAATATGTGGTCTCTGGAAAGTCATCTGTGAAAGAATATAACCCTTAGGCTAAGTAAGATTTCCCACCCTTCTATATAATATTCCTGATTAGACCTGAATAGAGTTGGTAAAATAAATGGGAGCCCTGATGGATTACTGTGAAATGATGGAGTGTGACAGCTGAAGCATATTGTGGCTTTTATGCTTTTTTTAAAAAAAACCTTTTTATATATGGTTGAGAATTCTTAAAGGTCATAGTCACCTCTTTGTTTCCCTCAATTAGTATTAACACTACAGATCTATCCTCAGTTATTATTGATCAAGTTCAAGCTCTGATACTGTTTTTAATTATTTTTAAAAAGGTACAGATTAGTGACTGTAATACAAACTTAATGATTAATCAGGAAAGGAGTTTTATTATAAAAACAGCAAAAAGAAAAAAAGGATAATTTGTTTTTTATCTAGGGAATCAGTTTTTATTTTTGATTATAACTATTTAAAGTGAGACATAGATTATTGCAACTAATACATATGTGGCTTTGGTAAAGAAGAAATCGAAATGAGAGATGAATTATTTTTATTAATATAGTAAACTTGAATAGCAGAAAATAACACGTCACCTAGATTGCTATAATGAATAACTAATGCAAACCCTGTTGTACTGTTATTTTCTTGACAGAATATGCCAATCGGTTATTTTCTCCCTACTTTCTTCAAAATTTGCATATATCTTATCTATTCTCTTAACCTTTAAGTGACAGGTCAGTCGTATGAAAATATGGTGACTGAGATTATGTCAATGGGATATGAAAGAGAGCAGGTAATTGCTGCATTGAGAGCCAGCTTCAACAATCCTGACAGAGCAGTGGAGTATCTTTTAATGGTGAGTCTGTTTCTTGTTATTTCATGATTTGCTCTTCCTTCTACAATTAAGTCTGATCATGACACCTTTTTTATGGGAAGGCGAGATGTAGAGACATAAGAGATAAAGTAATGACTGAGTAATGAACTTTCTTCTTTAATGAAAACTGAACACAAATTGGTTTAATTTCTTTGTCAGTATAGCTGTTCTTGGTGCCTCCGTTTGAACTGCAAAAAGATTAATAACATTAAGAGATACATATATATCAATATAAAAAGAGCTTAGCTGTTTCGGTGTTCTCTTAGCAAAACTATTCAATGAGGGTTTGCATTTCTTGCATTTGTTAAATTTCTTTCTGAATGGAAGACTCCGAGAATATATGTACTCAATCTGATTTTAGGATTTTAGACTAGTGTTTCTCAACCTCAGCAACTTTTAAGATGTGTGGACTCAGCTCCCAGAATTCCCCCGCGACACAGGGAGTTGCTGTCCACACATCTTAAAGTTGCTGAGATTGAGAAACACTGTTTTAGACAATTTCATAATCTCTAATGACAGGCTACGTGATATAGGCTAAGTTCATTTACACATTTAAATGTTCTTATTTCAGCAGAAGTAACAAAACAGATGGCAGATTTTTTAAAAAAATTGTTAACAGTAAAGAATTATTCCTTTCATTCGATCTCAGTCCTTAGACTTCATGGATGTATCGAAATCATAAAGGCTATGTTCATTTTAGGGTATCCCTGGAGATAGGGAGAGTCAAGGTATGGCTGACCCCCCTCAAGCAGCCAGCACTGCGGCTTCTCCATCTTCAGCAGTAGCTGCTGCTGCTGCAGCAACTACCACTACTACTACCACTAGCTCTACAGGAGGTAAGATAGCCATTTCTACAAGTCTCAGTCTGACTCACTAGAGAAATGGTTTGCAAAATAGCCCTTAAGGCATTTTCTTTTGTTAAGTATAATTCTGCAAATATCTCTATTGATAGTTCTTCTTATAGGTTGGCGGGCTTTTTTATTTATTTGTAGAATGTTGCATCAAGGTTTATAAAACTTTTTGGCTTTGTAGTTCAGATTTCTGTACCATTCTATCATACATTTTCGCATGAAGCTGTTCTAGGCAGACAGATAAACAAATCTACCCTTTCCTATCATTAGTAACCGTGGTAAAAATTAATACTGGGCTCTAGCATGAGTCCTGTAAAAGCTTTTGAGAAAGGCTCGCCTTTTGCGTACAATCTTGTTCAAAACGTACCTCCTCTTTCAGGACATCCTCTTGAATTTTTACGAAATCAGCCTCAGTTCCAGCAGATGAGACAAATTATTCAGCAGAATCCATCGCTTTTGCCCGCATTATTACAACAAATAGGACGGGAAAATCCTCAATTATTGCAGGTGACTTTTAAATCATATCGAGTTCTCTTCTGTAGTTTCACATTCTTTTAAAAACCAGTGTCAGATGAGGAAAGAATAAAATGAATTAAATGAAGTGAGTTATAAAGGTCTCTCAGTGTAATAATTTACCATATAGGCCCGTGGTGGCGAACCTAGGGCATGCGTGCCACAGGTGGCATACAGAGCCTTCTCTGTGGGCACGCGCACCATTGCCCCAGTCCTAGGCCTTCAGCTGGGTTTTATAAAACCTTTTTCCTTTAGGCCTCCGCCGCATGTACAAAAAAAAAGAGTTCAATCAATCAATCAATTTCAACTCGCAGGGAAAAAAAAGATCTCGCAAAGTTGGAATTGATTGATTGAACTTTTTTTAGCCCCATCCAGTTTGCCGTTACCACGGCAGCCACGCCCACCCAAGTGGCCACACCTACCCAATTGGCCACGCCCACATAAGTGGGTTTGGGGTTGCAGTTTGGGCACTCGGTCTCTAAAAGGTTCACCATTACTGATTATAGGTATATCTGTTACTACTATTTGGTTTCTGTTGGCTTGTATTTTATCATTTATAGTTCAAATGGAAATAATGTTTGTTTAAGGTAAATAGGAATACATATTTCTTTATCATATTTATGTGTTGTCTGCCCATCTCATAAACAAATGATTCTGGACAGCATACAGCAGTGTTAAAAATGATATGTACACATTATTAATAGTATTAAAAACTTTAAAATGATAAAAGCAACAATAATTTAAAAATATTAGGCGAAGAGCAGGTGTTAATTACCCTGGAGTCATGTCAATTTTTTACCAGTCGCTTGGGGTCTCCAGGACTGATGACACAACCAGGTCTTGAGGGACTTCCAGAAAGTTAAGAGAGATAAAGATGTGGGGAACACACCTGAAAAGGCCCACTACCTAGGAGCTGCTAGGTGAAACTCCCTAGCCCAGCGGTTCTCAACCTATGGGTCGCGACCCCATTTGGGGTCGATCGACCATTTTTCGGGGGTCGCCAAAGGCGGCGATCCGCCATTTTCTCCCCTCCGGGAGCGGTGCTGTGCATACGTGCCGCGCATGGGGGGGCGGCGTGCCTCCGGGGGCAGCGCCGCGCATGCGTGCTGCGCATGGGGGTGCCGCCGCACATGCGCACCGCACATGGGCGGTGCTGCGCATGCGCGCCGCGCCTGGGGGCGGTGCTGCGCATGCGCGCCGCGCCTGGGGGCGGTGCTGCGCATGCGCGCCGCGCCTGGGGGCGGTGCTGCGCATGCACATGACGTTTGTGTGACGGGGGTCGCCGTCACACAAACGTTGAGAACCGCTGCCCTAGCCGATGGGACCTGCATCATATCCTCTCTGCTGGATCTGGTGGGACAGGCAGATGTAATCAGGAGAGGCAGTCTTTATTTCAGTATATTATTTGCTTTTGTCCTCCCATGCACCATAGCAAATAAGCCAACATCAAGAGCATTTCATTCAGATGTTAAACGAACCTGTTCAAGAATCAGGACAAGGAAGTGGTGGCAGTGGAAGTGGAGGCGGGGTAGCTGAAGCTGGAAGCCGTCACATGAACTATATTCAAGTAACACCTCAGGAAAAAGAAGCTATAGAAAGGGTGAGTTGAACATTTTTCTTTACTCACAACCCCAATTTTCTCTCAGTTTCTTAAGTTCAGAGATTGAGTAATCCTTACATAGCCAAAATCTACATGTGAGTGGGCTGTGGGGTTTTGGTATGTGTGTGTGTGTGTGTGGGGGGGGGGTTAACAACATATCTTTTCAATTTCTTCTGCTATCCTTATAAAATGAATAATATTTAGTAGATTTCTTTTCTCCAGCATTTGAAGTACATTAGAAAAAGTGGTTAAGGCGCCAGGCTAGAAACCAGGAATCTATGAGTTCTACTCCCACCTTAGACATAAAAGCCAGCTGAATCACCTTGAGCCAGTCACATATTTTCAGTCCAGCCCAGCTCACAGGATGGTTGTGGGGAAAATAGGAGGAGATATTTTGTATATTCACTGCTTTGAGTTACTTATAAAAATAATAAAGGCGGAAAATAAATATTAAAATTAGGAGAATATGTACCTCTTGCCTATTACTTACAATATGCAATTATATGTGTCGTATATCCCAACTGATTACAAGTTCATGATTTTGTTTCATGTTAACTTCCATAGCATTTGTTTGATAGTATGAAGGTTTTTTGTATTTGCTCAGGCTGAATTCATGTACAGTGCATAAATTGTTTCCCTCAAATTATTTTAAACCTGTATTCCAATATTTCAAAGTAGAAAATAATAATAGTAGTAAAGTTGGAAGGGACCTTGGAGGTCATCTAGTCCAACTCCCTGCTCAGGCAGGAAACCCTACACCATTTCGGACAAATGGCTGTCCAGTCTCTTCTTAAAAACTTCCAGTGTTGGAGCATTTACTGCTTCTGGAGGCAGGCTGTTCCACTGATTAATTGTTCTCACAATTAATGAATGAAAATGAAGTTATTATTTCGGATGTTATTGCATAAATATGATTCTTCTCTACACAGAGCATTTTTATACAGTTTTGAAATGATAGAAAAGTAAGCTGTGGTTATTTGTTGTATGTATAATCTTAATATCATTTATACTTAAACAGGCCTAGCAATTTGCTGCTAAACTAGGATCCTGAACTGAAAGGTTTAGTTGAAAGATGAACTTGTTTATTCTTGGTTTTCAAATTCATAAATGTAATCAATATATTTGAATAATTTTTGCATAGTCAACTCTGTTTCAGGCTCAGCATTCAATGCAGTTTAGCCCATTCAATGCAGTTTAGCCATATCAAGATTTTAGTGTAACAAATTTGTATCCGCAACAATTGTGTCATGCATCAGGACTGATATTGCTAACTTATTTAAAATACTAATCTTTAATATTTGGTTTGACAAGGAAGCTTATGCTATAAATGTGAATTCTAATAGTCTTTTCTTTCGTATAGTTAAAGGCCCTAGGATTTCCTGAAGGACTTGTGATACAAGCATATTTTGCATGTGAGAAGAATGAAAATTTGGCAGCCAACTTCCTTCTACAGCAGAACTTTGATGAAGATTGAAAAGAAGAGACTTTTAAAATCTCACACATCACACCAGTGCATTACACTAGCTACTCACTGGATTGTCTGGGATACTTGGGCTCATATCCATGATACTTGGTGGAAGGGGGAAGGGGAGAGGGAAATGGGAGAAGAGAGGAAAATATAGAAAGGATACAGGAAAAGACAAGCACATCTGTTCTAAATCAGCAGATGAAGCAGATCAAAATGTAAAATACTATACACCAAAAATTAGCTTTTTTTGCAGATATTTAGTTCCTTTCTTCTATAAAAACTATAAGTTCATGCCCCCCCACCCCAATTTTCACTTCTTTAGTATACTAGGTCCCAAAATTAGCGTGGTGCCCTGCTTTCGTTTCTTTTTAAATAACATTGGGTCTTGGAGATAGAAAAGACTACCTAGGATCAACAGTCTGTATTTCATGGTAACACTGGATGACGGCTTCATAAATTTAAGAGAAAATATATTTGAGTAACATTAAAAACATATGCCAAAAATAGTAGGTGGTGGGGTTTTGCTGCTTCAGATGTATCTAATTTTTACAGGATGCCCATTATTTCTTGCTGAAGTGCTAGATTTAAACCACTTATTGTTTTAGATTCTTGATCATTGATTTGAGAGAACTTTTCCTATCCCTATCCCTTTGCTCCTTTCATAGTAAGTAATAAATAGAGTGACTATATACACATAGGAAACAGTTGGAGCAAATGCCAGATAGCCTAATTACTGCTTACTTTAAGATTGGGTTATAGTAAAGCTTTTTTGAAAAGGAAAAGCAAACAGCTGTCTTTGCATGTTTTGGTTTGATGTATCCCTTTTTGTGAATTGAGCACTTTTTAATGCCAATGAAGAAAATGTAAACTCTCCAATCTAGTGAAAGTATTTATGAAGAAATCAGATTGCATCCTACCTATATTTTGTTGAAAGTCAAACTGATCTGATGAATACAGCTGCAAGTATTTCAAAACTAGGTGTCTTTAAATGCTTGTAATCTTATAGTTTCAATCTCTGGGCCTCTAAAGGCTTTTGTCATTTGTATGCTTTAATAAGGACTGTCCAGTAACTTGCCTTCTCTTCTGTTTAAAAGCATTGTGAATCATTTTACTCTTGAAGAGATGTTCAGAAAGTGGAAAAAAATAGATGAACAATCAAGTTATTGGATCTCTAAAGATTATGCACATCCCCTTTTACTTCCTATTAAAAGTAACATTTAATTGTAAGCTTGTGAGCATCATTTCTTATTAACGGGGGAACTGATCTTTGTAGAGTGGCTCTGAATAACTCCTGTAGTACTATACTATTGTTGGAAGATAGCATAACAATCTCGTCAGAAAAGAACAGTTTAGGGATTAAATATGGTTTCTTTAGCAACATCTAGTTATACAATCATTAAACCATTAATTTAGACATATCTTGACCTTTAATGGGAAGCCAACTGCATGGAATGTTCTCCAGTCTTGGTGCTTTGCTTAAATTTGTCTGACGTTAGGCAGCATTAATAGGGATAAAATGCTAGAGCTCAGCTCCATGCCATTTCAGCTTGGAATTTTAAAGTTTTTCACTTATGAAAACTCTTTTATTTTGGAAAGTAGCTAAATTATAAACATACTGAATGCAATTGCATTCTGCTTTCAGTGTCAAAAACACCTTGAACTTTAATATATATCTAGATATAAACTTCATTCAAGAGGCTCTAAATTCTATAACATAGATCCAATTAATTAAATATGTAAGGGATATACAGTATTAATTAAATATCCAAAACATCACACTAAAACTTCACCATCACCCCAACCTGTAATACACCTACAAGAAACATTCTAAATAGTATTTCTGGATCATTGTGGGGAATTGGGAAGAATTTGATATGTATGAAGGTTAATGCCAGTTAAAGAACTGGCAGCTGTGATTTTACTCTGTATATTATAATATTTCAAGTGCTCCCTTGATCTTCCTTGTTTCCTAAGAATACCTGTTCAAGAAATACCTAGAAACAAGAAAGATCAAGCAAGTAGTAGACATAATGAAGCAGCAAATAACTACAGCCAAGAAGATCAGATATGAAACTCAAATTGCACAGTAGGCACCATCTCCTATTTCAGTTGAATCAGAAATGTTTCTACCAATCCATCAATGAAGATAACGTAATGAATGAACCAGTCAACACCTGGATGGGACATTTTGGTTCTGCTTGACTAGAATTACCAGATCCCTGACAAAAGAGGACACAGAAAGTAGGAAAGGATGACAAATGGGAAAGGAAGAGACACTACAATAACTTTAACTTTTTTGCATCAAAAATGTACCAAAATTTGGCCTGCATGTGTATGGAATTATTTTTCCAGCCTCAGAAAACCTGGTGTTTCAATTGCAATATTTTTGCAAGAAATATTTTCAAGAACATATGCTAGCAATAATGTAGAATTGCCAGCAATGTTTTTCAAATTTTGCCATAGAAAAGTGTGATGGGTTGTGATCTCCAGGCTATGTGGATTATAGATTTGGCTGGATTAAAATTGAAGGCTGGGATCAAGAAATAATGTAAATCTAGGATGTTGAGTCTGTTCACTGACAGGTAAAGAAGAAGCAATTTACAAAGTCACAGTCACAGAAAAGTTTGAATAGCTGTAATTGTGAAAATTGTGAATTTAAAAAACTCAAAATATCTAGACATTTGAATTTAAATCTATGCTGGACAGAGAACTGTCCTTTAGCTGAACATCTGGTAACGCTAAACTTGAATGAATATGTCCAAGATCTTGTTTTGAGTTATCTAAAGTTTTATTAAGGTTCAAAATAAGGAAAGCTGGTATTGGGAGCTCACAATACATCAAATCTTGATCAATTTGCCTTTGCAAGGTAGATAGAAATCTTTTATTCAGGGTATGGCCAAACCTTCTGAAGCATTGTCTATGACAGTGGTTCTTAACCTTTTTGAAAGAATCACCCCTTTGAGCCAATGAGGAAGTTGTCATCACCCCCCTCCCCCAACATAACCTCTCAATCACAACATAGGAAATAATTCTTCAATTTATGCAAACACTTTTTTTGTTTTCTTTAAAATTGTCATCAGGATATATCGATGCAAATAATTTATTTCCAGTCTTTTCCCCATATCTCAACTGTGTGAAAAATTTTGGTGCCACCTGTCACTTTGTTCCCAAACTTCGTGATACATGTATTTTATTATCTTATTTATTCAAGACACTTAAATGTAATGACCAATGAAAACAAAATTCAATTGCAATAAAGTGAAACGCACGAAAAGAAAAACAGTAACATTTAATGATTGAATTACAAGTGAAATAACAGTTCTTCCCCGATCTCTTCATTTCCGTTGATGAAACGGACATAAGCCAATAACAAGGCTTCATTTTCACGAATCGTTGACTCGTCAATCTGCTTCATGAATTCTGTATTTTTCAAGGTGTCAATAAGCCTTTCTTCCACATCAGCCATTTCATCTATTCTTTTTGATATGGTGTCATTACTCAAAGGAATCGATTGCGTGATAGTGCTTGCGCTGGGCCCCAACATAGTGGCAACAATCTGTTTCACTGCTGGTAAAATCAGTGTTTCTCCGATAGTGTGAGGTTTGCCACATTTTGCTATCAACAAAGATACTTCATAGTAACAAATGAGCCCCTTGTCAGTGTTGAGTGATGATTTTGGGATTGGGCGGCATATAAATATTTGAAAATAAATAAATAAATAAATAAATTTTCCAAATAACTTCCCAACAGTGCTGCAACCCTCAAACTTGGCCTTTAAGGATTGGAAAAACAATGCCGGTTTGTCGACTTTATCTGAATGAATTCTTACCGAATGGTCTTTCAATCAGGAAGTCTTCATCACTTCATTTGAAAATGTTTTCTCACAAAGAAGACAAAACGGAAGTGGTACATTGGAAGGAGATGGAATGAATCCCAATTTTAGGTATTCCGTCGAATATTGGTGACACTTCCTCTTCTCAGCTATGTTGAGAGGTCTTCAAAATGAAAGGCACTACCTGCAGATTAAATTTTTGACTGCACTGGAACACTAGAAAAACACACGTGGACATCGATAAACCTAGTTTCAACAGTTATGTTGACATTACAGCTGATGTCACAGGGGACAGCCATTCAGCATGTGATGTTTCGAAAGAAACGGTCCCCCCTCCATCGCTGCCCATTCTGGCCAATGGCATGCCACTGTATGGGTAGAGGCTGCTATGCAACGCGCATGAAGATAAGCGATACGTATTCACATATGTATGGCGTTCTGTACTGAAGCTAGCTGGAGGAACATTTGAAAACATAATTCAATCCACTAATAGCGAGTGATCTGATGTTTTTGTACGACATAACAGTGATTCACTGTACGAAAAAGTCTCAAAAGTATCCCCAAAACTTCTCGCTCCATCGCCCCCATATTGCCCCCTTTTCATTCCTTTGCCCCCGTGTTGCCCCTTTTCATTCCATCGCCCCCCTGAAAAACGAAATTGCCGCCCAGGTTAAGAACCACTGGTCTATGACATCCAACAAACATGAAAGAGAAATCTTATTGGATTATTTAATTATTGAGTCTCATTTTAAAACCATAACAAAAATACTTTGCCTTTTCATTTATTCCCTTCTATTTTTCTTTTTTTCTTTTCTCTTTTTATACTGTAACAATAGAGAAAGAGAGAAAGAATTGCATTAAACCACCATATAATTTCTCCGGTTTGATTTTGCATGATGTCAGTCTAGCTGGTGTGATTTGTAAATCATGGCTCATGGTTATGTGAACTGATTCCATGTTAGCTTATTCAACAAAATATTATTAAACCATCGAGTGTTTAATGTGTAAGCCCAGTCACAGAATCTTTGAAAAAATCTTAAGACTAGAGATTTTATAAGAGACTATTCCTTTATTTAATTTACATCTACTCTTAACCCAAACAGTAGAAAATTATCTACTCTCTGATGTATGTTGAACAAGACAAAAGAGAAACAAACATAAAAGACCAATATCTCCATCACTTCCATCCTGTCTGCCTGACATATAGATTTCCTTCTTCAGCACCTTTAATTTAAAGGAAGAACTTAGTATTAAAATATACTTGAGATGGCAGCAGTACTTCATTTTTTGAAGGAAAATTCTCTAATAGCTCTGTTCTTTTTTGCCATTTGGAATTCATGGATTCTAGATATTTTCTTGTAGATGTAAAGCTAATTTCAAAGCTTGTCCCTCTTTCCTCCCCGAAGTGCTCCATAATTATAATAAAAAGCCAAGGTTCCCCCCCTTTTTCTCTTTCCTGAAAGGAAGTAAACGAAGAGGAACATCACATTGCAATATATAAATTGGGAGTAGCTGGTGACAAAATACCAAAAGGGATCTGTACATGTGAAGCACCTAAACATATAATCGTCACCTTTTTAATTCAATCATTGATCTATTATGGGGCCTCCAGTGTGGTGTTCAAACCACAGTGCACCTCCAGGGACCTAATCTGATAACTGTCTAACAATCTAACAACCTTCAGTCTTTGAGTGTCATTGTGGTTTTTAGTGATGCTTCTAGAGTCCATGTGTGGTTCCCCAAAACCATTCATAGAAAAAGAACATGAGGACAATAATAATCCAGCATTTTGTTTAGAATGTGTGCTTATTTTTCCAGTCAAAGGATCAACTCCAATAGATGGGAGGGAAGCACCCTGGTCAGCTAGAGAGGAAAAAGGGGTTGAAGAATATCCATTCCAGTTTGTTTGGGGGATAGATGGATGATTTATGAGTGAGCCCCATATTACTCAGAAAAATGGCTACAGTACTAAATAGGCAATCTTTCTCCCAGGATAGTAATTTTGAGAAAGAATGACCATTTTTCCTTTATAATTGTCCATACATAATCCATGTCTGTAAGTTCAGAAGTTGCAAGTAATATCAGGTGTTAAATCCCCTGAGGTACTGGGGCCATAAATTGCACAAACATATGATGATCCAATGTTATTCTGGTTATTTCAGTGAAAACTTTGGATCCTACAGATGCCTCTTCAGGATAATTCATGATTCCTAATTCTACTTCCTAGCCCTATTTCAGTGCTTCTACATGTATCCTTCAGATGAATAACGGCGTTGAAAGGGACCTTGGAGGTCTTCTAGTCCAACCCCCTACTCAATCAGGAAACCCTATAACATTTCAAACAAATGGTTGTCCAATCTCTTCTTAAAAACCTCTAATGTTGGAGCACTCACAA